TATATATATATATATATATATATATACATACAAGCGCGTGCACACACATATATACACATATACAAACACATGCACGCACATACATATATAATATATATGTATTATAGTTTAAAAAGAATAGATACATAATTTACTGTATAAAACTTTTTAAGAACGGATAAAACGGGAATTATTACAAAAAGCTAAAACGTTCATTTATCCCATCGGGCTGGAAAGTTCCCAGGTCAAAAATGGTTTTGTTTTCTTGTACTTCGCGGTTATGTTGGTCTGTAGGAGGCCTTCTTCAAAACAAGAATTTTAAAATGGCCGAGGGTATGGTTGTGCAGATTGAAGTGTTTAAAGCCACTGGTTTATCTGCGTTATGATTTATTATGTCTCTGAGATGTTCTCGGGAACGTTCTGCTAATAATCTACTAGTTTCTCCTATGTATAATTTTCCACAACTTGAACCAAAACACGTCATATATTCTATTGTATGTGCAGTTAAATTGATCCTTAATGTAAAAACTCTACTTAGGATCCTGCACGGATGTTCTTGAGTCAATGTAAGCTTTACTAATAAAATCGCCAAGGACTTGTGGTTTATTTAATCTTTACATTGGTACTTTTTAGAGCTCAGAATCAGTTCCTGTTTTATGTATAGCTGGCTGTCTGAGTATAAAGTTGTTTGTTTTTGATCTGGCGATCATATTACGTTTGTTTTTGTAATTTTTGACATCACGTGTCTCACTCATTAGAGATTGGAGTCATGTAGACTGTTCTCGTTTAAAAATCTCACCCATTGAAGTCTGAAGTTATAGTGTTTCATTTTTAGTTGACGTTTGGGAAAAAATTGAATGAGGTACTTCCATTAAAAAAATTCATTGTCTGTTCTGAAGAAGTGACAATCATGGTATTGCTTCTATGCAAGCTACCAAATAATACTGTCGCTTTTACTCAAGCAACCAATTTAATGTCACTTATGTTTACATACTTGAAACTAGGACGCCGTGTTACTCAAACGCTTAAATACAATAATGTTTTGAAGCTTAATCGTTACAAAATTAAACATCGTTTCGTTTACAGATTTTGGTGATGAACAAACTTACTAGCAAATCACCGAAGAGTCCGCAGAAACGTGTCACAGAAGATGAAGAATAATTAATACTCCAAAACAAAACTACGATTTATATATAAAGTAGTATTTTATAGGTCAAACCACCAAGAAGTTAATATATAAGTAACTTCCATCCTTACACGCATGACATTTCTGATTCATCATTACCATTTTTTGGATATTCTTCTTTCTATATCTTCTGATAAAATAACAACCAGTGTTCATTAAATACCTACAGACACCCACAACTATTTGCACTTTTGGATATTCTTCTTTCTATATCTCTGATAAAATAACAACCAGTGTTCATTAAATACCTACAGACACCCACAACTATTTGCACTTTTGGATATTCTTCTTTCTATATCTTCTGATAAAGTAACAACCAGTGTTCATTAAATACCTACAGACACCCACAACTATTTGCACTTTTGGATATTCTTCTTTCTATATCTTCTGATAAAATAACAACCAGTGTTCATTAAATACCTACAGACACCCACAACTATTTGCACTTTTGGATATTCTTCTTTCTATATCTTCTGATAAAATAATAACCAGTGTTAATTAAATACCTACAGACACCCACAATTATTAGCACTTTAATTCTAACCACCCCACATATATGAAGAAGAACATCCCAAAATACCAGTTCATTAGACCACGGAAACTGTGTAGTGAACCTGATGATTTCAATGTCCGCTCAACAGAATTGGAATCATTTTTTTATGATCTTGACTACTCCAAAAACAATCTGAAAAAAGGCCGCAACTATATTGTTAATCAAGACCACAACTCCTCTTCATCTTTCACGGAAACAAACTCCTGTACCAGGCCGCCCCTTATTCTCACATACCACACACACACACAACAAACAAGTTAAAGATATTATTCTAAACAATTTTTCGCATTTTAAAGGATTCTAACACCACTACACATATTTTCCCAAGACCCCCCCCCCCATAATTTCTTACCGTCACGATACCAATATTGGAAACTACGTAGTTCAAAGTAGCCTTAAAACACCCACCTCAACAGACACAGATTCTATTGTAGGTAGCTATCCTTGTAATAGAGAACGCTCTAACACATGCTACCTACACTTACTTATCTTAAAAAGAACCGGCCAATTTTTCCACAACGTTGTATACATTTTACAGTCGGAAGAGAAATACATACATCAACGTCAAACAACAGGCTAATAACTACATTCTTTATATTAAAGCTTTCCAGTTTGTAAATTTGAGAAATTAAATATATTAATCCTTATTTTTATACAATTCTGAATCAGCCTCGATCTGACATCTGATTAGCTGCACTGATTGCCAGATTCACTCGTAGTTTCGCTCTAAGTACGCAGCTTCCTCTGATCGAAAGTTAATATTTAGCCTATTAATCCCCTTTATACACCTTTGTATACAAATAAGTAGGATCATACAGACAAAATCTATCTCCACTGTGGTAGGATCCTATGTATTAAAATATTAATCAACAAAACCAAAACAGAAAAAACAACACTTCTAACACTTAATCATGTTTAGTACAGTAATTTAGTGTTACAGTACAGAAATTTACATATATTTTTTTCAATGTAAATAACATCCAGTAAAAAGTTTTCACGGATAATATTTTCCCCGCAAAACAAGTTTTATTTATCTATTTATTCTAGAATTGGTATTTTTCGTTTCAAATGTGCAGTTCCTTATGGCAGACGTTCGTGTGTTATTTAGAAAGACATTTTCAAATCACCGCTAGGTGTCTATTCACTAACAGTATGTATAATCGTGACCTAGTTAACAGAATCTAGCTTGGCTTAACTCCTGTTATCTGATTATATCGTTACATTATAGGACGTACAAAAATGAAGTACAATTAAGGACGCATAACCTTATTAAACTCGACCTTAAACCACTTTTAATTGGGCTTATCCTCTTCTTCTTTAACAGCAGGATTGTTACTAATCTGATATTTTGTTTTACTTCAGTTGCATGCACGCGCTAGTCATTGGCCTACACTTATTAGAGCGATACGAACAAAGACGTTAAAAAAAAAAGGAGAATCTTGGCAACGTAAAAAACAATCAAACCGCTATTCTACTGATTATTTCGAAGTTCTTGATAGTATAACTCTTTTGTTGCCTTACCCTACTGTTGCCTGAATATTTATGAATCTCGGTAGTGCAAAAAAAATAACGTTATTATCTTGATTATTCTGGAGTTTTTGAAACTATGTATAACCGTCTTGTTTTCCACACCGTAAATAACTTGTTATGTGAAAAGAATATATATATTTTTTTATGAATAAACGTTTGACAAATCATTTTAGGGTATAAAAACAGTTATTTGTTTTAGCGCTAACCTACACCGTGAACTATTTAAAACGGTGTATTTCTATAAAGTCCCAACTGTGACTGTAGTATAAAAATATTTTACCAAATATTTACATCAAATAGATACACTAGGCCCTGAATATGAATAATGTATATGTTGTTCTGTGTATATATCTACATATATATATATATTTCTGTGTCTCAGCCACATAATGTTTTTAAATGTAAATTATCATAGGCCTTGAAAGAAGAAAACTGACAACCGAAATGATTGACAGGTTTATCTAGGTCCTGCATTTTGATTTTCATAATATACCAACTTAGTAAGCATTCCGAGCCAATAAATATGAAATAAAAAAAACCGATTAAACGCCAGTCTTTTAGTAAACTTCAGACTGAAGCATTAATATATAAATTATTATTAAACCTTTGTACGTTGAAACATACTCACCCCTTCAGGGTTGTACTTAGACAAAGCTCCGTCTTCTTTAAATTCTTCTTCCAACACTTCAGTTAGTTTTTTAGATGAAACTAGCGTGTTGAAATAAAAAAAAATCAAACAATAAATAATCTTAGCTGTTTGTATTTTCTCTCTAAATAATATTTTGTTTGGTAATAAATAGTATTAAATGTTTGTATTCTCAAAGTACATAATTGTTTTCCTGGTAATTTTCCCGAAAGGAGGGGCTGAGGCCCCCTGGAAGGGACACTTGTTTTAACCACTCGCACTATACAGTAGTGTGTTGTCTGTCAGTCAGTCAGTAGACACTAAAATGACGCCGCATAATGGACGCTTAACGTTGGAATTTGTACTGTCTTGACGTCAGTAAAAATGCACGCGTGCCATGAATCACGAAAACAACTATGTACTCTGTAGGCTACACCACAGCATGGCATATGGAGTCCAAAAACAAGAAATATTTGTTACTTTTAATTTTGGTTTTATTTACCTTTGAAACAGAACACTTTCGGAGCACTTCTGGTAATTAGTATTAGATGTTTGTATTTCTTACCTACATAATCGTTACTCCAGTAATAATAGTATAGATAATTGTTTGTCTAACAATGAATAATTTTGAATATTTGCCTATTTATGTGCATGTTTACCAAGAAACTTATAGACTAAAAAAAAAAAAATGGTGGCTTTAAAAATCAGCTGGTATAATTAGTTTAAAAAAAGATTGACAATAAAGCTTTACGGGTAAAATTTGGAACAAAATCCAATTTTGTGAAATTAGCTCGTGCTCACGTATAATCTTTATAAAATACGGAAAACATCTTTACACGTTATTGAAATCTCAACATGAATTAGAATGTTTATAAAATTATAAACGAAAAAGAATAAAATCTTCGAATCACCACTTTTTTTGTTTTCAGATAAGTTTCGGTTTTCATTAAGGGTTATGATTAGAAGTTAAATGATAAGTTTTGGTTTTCATTAAGGGTTATGATTAGAAGTTAAATGATATTGTTTTCGGTTTTCATTAAGGGTTATGATTAGAAGTTAAATGATATTGTTTTCGGTTTTCATTAAGGGTTATGATTAGAAGTTAAATGATAAGTTTTGGTTTTCATTAAGGGTATTGATTAGAAGTTAAATGATAAGTTTTGGTTTTCATTAAGGGTTATGATTAGAAGTTAAATGATATTGTTTTCGGTTTTCATTAAGGGTTATGATTAGAAGTTAAATGATATTGTTTTCGGTTTTCATTAAGGGTTATGATTAGAAGTTAAATGATATTGTTTTCGGTTTTCATTAAGGGTTATGATTAGAAGTTAAATGATATTGTTTTGGTTTCCATTAAGGGTTATGATTAGAAGTTAAATGATATTGTTTTGGTTTTCATTAAGGGTTATGATTAGAAGCTAAATGATAAGTTTCGGTTTTCATTAAGGGTTATGATTAGAAGTTAAATGATATTGTTTTCAACAAGTTTGGAATTGTTTAATTTTTGCATTGCCATGGAGATGAAAAATTTAACTAGCAGTACAAGACTCGAAGTTAAAGCATCTTTTATATTCTGTGATTTATGTTAATTTACTAATGTAATAAATAAAGCTTGTAGTTCTATAAACACCCCACCAGAGGGAGAGAAAACACTATTCAGGTTTGTTTGTTTGGAATTTCGCGCAAAGCTACACGAGGGCTATCTGCGCTAGCGTCCCTAATTTAGCAGTGTAAGACTAGAGGGAAGGCAGCTAGTCATCACCACCCACCGCCAACTCTTGGGCTACTCTTTTACCAACGAATAGTGGGATTGACCGTCACATTATAACGCCCCCACGGCTAAAAGGGCGAGCATGTTTGGTGTGACGGGGATTCGAATCCGCGACCTGCAAATTGCGAGTCGAGCGCCCTAACCACCTGGCCATGCCGGGCCAAACACTATTCAGAAAGCAAGTGAGTAAGTCCAGTGAATACTTAAATTTACTGATTTTTTGGCCTGGCATGGCCAGGTGGTTAGGGCGCATGACTCGTAATCTGCGGGTCGCTTGTTCGAATCCCCCTCCCACCAAACATGCTCGCCCTTTCAGGCCGTGGGGGCGTTATAATGTGACAGTCAATCCCATTATTCGTTGGTAAAAGAGTAGCCCAAGAGTTGGCGATGGGTGGTGATTACTAGCTGCCTTCCCTCTAGCCTTTTACTGCTAAATTAGGGACGGCTAGCACAAATAGCCCTCGTGTAGCTTTGCGCGAAATTCAAAACAAACAAACAAGCTGATTTGTGTGTGATACCTACCCTGTTGTGTGAAGTTCTTGTGTGGGTGGGGGTGGATTATTTACTGTAATTGGATAATTCAAATCAGTATTGTTTAAATAATTGATTAAAGGTGGAATACTTTAAATACATGTGTCTATATGGGATCTAGTTTTTGTTTTGCCTTGCTCATGATTTAGAAGCTCATAAAAGCTAATATTTCATCAGGTTACTGAATGTCTTCAGTATGGATTACAATAGGTTTACTTACATTGTATAAAATCCTGTAGTTGTTGAAACTCGGCTGGAGTAAACCTTTTACCATTTTAATGTCATCATCTGGACTCGCTATAACAGGTATCAACTAACTGAGCATCACAGACAAAGAGGGCGCTCGGACACCAGAAACTGACAACCCAGCGTGCGGCACGAGCCAAAGTTGTTTGTTAACCAATCTCAGGAACCATCAGCTGGAGAAGGAAGTGAGAGGAGAGAATTTATAGAGTACTGAGATACTCATCAACAAACATGTGAAACCTACATTGTAATAAAGGTATAGCCTTTCCTCACGACAGAGGCGGTAATTAGTATAGCGTTCTTTCACACGTAAAAGAAGGCTGTTGTTAAATTCATGCCAATAAATAATGTTTATTAGGCATACAAATGTTGAAACAAACCGGCGACACAGGTTTATTAACAGCTCAAGTTCGTTTGTTTGTCGACAGTTTAACAGTTTTATTGACAGATTTTAATCTCTAGTGAATGGTAATTGATAAATAACATTTTTTTTAAAAAATCAATTCGTTACATTTATATACTTAAAGCGTTGATTCTCATGTTTTAATATAATGCTGTATAATCTCGAACACCTTGAAACACAATATTAAAAATACAAAATAACACAAAAGAGCTTGAAGCTCAGTGGCGTAGCTAGAAATTTTTCCGGGAATGTCAAGTAAAACATATGCATTTTTTCCAGTTATTCGTACATATCTGTCACTGAACAACGATTATTCACGTGCTAGCAAAATGTTACCAGTTGACCTAAGGGGGGAATTTTGTTTATTAAGATATTTAAATTTTCGAATTTCTCTTCACCGCCTCTCTGCAAGGAGGGCTGTTGCCTTTATTGCTACGACACTGATGAGTCTACTTTTCACCCAACTGAAGTAACTGTTGAAGTAAGCAATAAAAAATCTGAGTACTAAGTTGTACAGAAGCGAATTAGTTATTTCGTGCAACTAGAAATACAAAGTACATTTTTTTGTAAAACTATATCAACTTGTGGAAATTAAAGAAAAGAAAATCTTGTTGATACGACAACAACTGTTGTGGAGTGAACGCCTGTCATGATGTCTTATGACAAGTATAATTAAAACTTGTTGTTACAACAACAACTGTTGTGGCGTGAACGCCTGACATAATGTCTTATGACAAGTATAATTAAAACTTGTTGTTACAACAACAATTGTTATGACGTGAACGCCTGACATGATGTCTTATGACAAGTATAATTAAAACTTGTTGTTACAACAACAATTATTGTGGCGTGAACACGTAACACAATGTCTTACGACAAGAATAATTAATAACTTGTTGTTACAACAACAATTGTTGTGGCGTGAACACGTAACACAATGTCTTATGACAAGTATAATTAAAACTTGTTGTTACAACAACAATTGTTGTGGCGTGAACACGTAACACAATGTCTTATGACAAGTATAATTAAAACTTGTTGTTACAACAACAATTATTGTGGCGTGAACACGTAACACAATGTCTTATGACAAGTATAATTAAAACTTGTTGTTACAACAACAATTGTTGTGGCGTGAACACGTAACACAATGTCTTATGACAAGTATAATAAACATTTCTTTTTGTCCACTAATGGTAGGGATTTCCGTTTCAAAAAACAAACAAATAATTTTAATTCTATGTGTGGGCATTTTAAAACTATATTAATGTTCAGCTCTTTAAATCTAAATAAAACCATTCCACTTTACTCTTAGAGTGTTGTGAAAATATACGCAGTATGGAGGAAACAAAGCTACAAAATGAGATATCTGAACTCTATCCACACGGAGAATCTAACTCCGTATTTTAGCATTGTAATTTTGTAAACTTGTCGCTGACCCACACGGAGTGGGGGGGGGGGGGACAAAACCTACACAGTGGAATATCTTTATTGTGCTCACCGCAGGTACCGGAGCCACTGGGGCTAAGATGTACAATAAACTATCTGTACCCTGTTCACCGAGAGGAATCGAACCCCGAATTTTAGCGTTGTAAATCCGTAAATTTATTTACTGCTATAGGGAATCGAGTATAAATGAAATTAATTAAAGACAAAAGTGTGTAATTTACCCCACTTCCGCCCTCCCCAGAAAACGTCTTATGCACCAGGGCCTGGGTTTTGTAATATTACTTTACAAAACAACCGTATCACTAGAGAATCTAGTATTTGATAAACATTAGTCTGATGTTGTATGTTCAGGGTTGTCAGATTGGCGGGGGATCCTCCCTTTTCTGGGGGTCAGTATGGGGAGATATTGTAAGGGTTTGTTTGTTTGTTTTGCGCTAGCCGTTCCTAATTTAGCAGTGGAAGACTAGAGGGAAGGCAGCTAGTCATCACCACCCACCGCCAACTAGTTGGGCTACTCTTGTACCAACTAATAGTGGGATTAACCGTCACTTTATAACGCCCCCACGACTGAAAGGGTGGACATGTTCGGTATGACGGGGGTTCGAACCCGCGACCCGCAGATTGAGAGTCGAGCGCCCTAACCACCTGGCCATGCCGGGCCCATGTTTTTTTAGTAGAGTGTAAATAAATATAATTTTTATGATATACTGCAGAACTTACGAATGTTTTTTTGTTGTTTTTTTAAGCGCCAAAAAAGAGGCATCGCTAGCTACTTGAAAGATTGGAGGCTCGGGCCCATAAATACTGGAATTATCCGCGTTTCAGAATGATGGCGATCATAGTTTCCTATTCTGACTTTTCAAGACATCAATTTGGGATTCGGGGCACGGGCCCCATGTGACGCCGCTGAGATTATCTGCACTGGATCCGCTACAAGGATCGAATCCACAAATTTTGGCGTTATAAACTCCCAAGCTTACCGCTGAGCCACTATTCTTATATCATGAAAACATATTACACGTGGGTACATAATGTGTTCATGCTAGTATTCAAAGGGTTAATACGAGTCTCGTGGTGGAGAAAGAACTAGAATAATAAAATGAAATACTGTAAAAAATAACATCAAAAACTTGAGCAGATGAATTATTAATTTCAGTTCGTTAAATAAGCAAAAAATACTTATTCAAAATCCTGAAATAAATTCCGGTAGTTCTGATCAAAAACCAGTGTATAACTTTCAGAAAAACTTCAGTTTCAAGGTTTTATTTTTTCAGGTACTAATTTAAAAAACGGTTAGTTACATCTATTGGCATCTGTTCAGGGTGGCGTTATTCCAATTAATTTTTGAAATGACTAAATCAATTTAGGTTAAAACTTCTCAATAGTTAAGATAAGTCATTAAAAACTCGACTATGTTCGATCATTTAATTATTTTGATTCTTCTATTTCTTCCTGCTGCTGGAAATGGTACAGAATTTAAGATTTTGTAAAATGAAATAATTTCAAATTGGGTTAAGAATCACATGAAAAATTGGGTTCAATGACAATGTCATTCAGGTAATACTCCTAAACAGAAAAAAAAATCACATGAAAAATTGGGTTTAATGACAATGTCATTCAGGTAATACTCCTAAACAGAAAAAAAAATCACATGAAAAATTGGGTTCAATGACAATGTCATTCAGGTAATACTCCTAAACAGTAAAAAATCACATGAAAAATTGGGTTCAATGACAATGTCATTCAGGTAATACTCCTAAACAGAAAAAAATCACATGAAAAA